ATAATATAACTAACCAAGATCTTACGTAATTACATAAAATATGCTTTCACATTAATTATTATGTTTTCCCTCGTTAGATCGAAACAAAATTACTGATACCGTTGGACAAATAATGATAAGTAAAATACATAATGACACTATGAAATTAATTATTGTTTATTCTAACGCGGAGGGGGGGGGGGTAGTATCAGCATCCATAATCACATTCCGGCCACTACGAACACAAAAATGCCCTTCTCAGGACTTTCTCCGTAGGAAACAGCAGGGGAAAGGTAGGATATAAACTAGAATCTATTAATAAAAAAGGAGCTAATTAATAAATAAATCTGGTGATCTACAGACAAGAAACGACAACTTCTAGTTAGATAAAAATATCTTTAAAATGTACACACACTTTTCTTAGTATTTTCGTCCACTTTGTGATTACACACAACTAGTGGATTTAACAAACTTCACGTATAAACGTGAACAAACAGTACGTTATTTAACACTGAAGACTTCTTATCAATACGAGTGTGTGTGAATGTATATAACAAACCATACCTGCTGTGTCTACCCAGGGAAATCGAACCCCTAATTTTAGAGTTGTAAATCCGTAGACTTACCGCTGTCTCTCATCATTACGATCAAATGAATCTGATAAAAAGTGCCGTTATCAATCCAATATATCTATCTACTGAAAATGTGACTGATAAAAAGTGCCGTTATCAATCCAATATATCTATCTACTGAAAATGTGACTGATAAAACGTGCCGCTATCAATCCAATATATCTATCTACTGAAAATGTGACTGATAAAAAGTGCCGTTATCAATTCAATATATCTATCTACTGAAAATGTGACTGATAAAAAGTACCTATGTAACAAATACTGTTTTCTCCTTTGTGTGCTTCAAAATTTCGCTTTATGAGCGCTAAGTTCAAACACCAGACAAGCATCCTTTTTTATTTAGTTTCTACTCTGGTGCCATGGTCCACTGCTCCTTCACACAACACAAAGAACGAAAAGAAAAAAAGGCAAACCAGTCCGCAATAAAAAGAGTATAATCCACTAATAAGAAATAAACCGCTTAGCAAAGCCCCATACCTAATGAGAGGGCAGTGTACCGTGTGTATGCGCGGTAAATAAGCAACAGAAGGCCGCCTCAACTCACCTTCCAAGCCCGAGGGGGAAAAAGCCGAGCCGGTTTATGTGGCGTCTTGTCTTCAGGCCAGCTTATTACGGACCCTCATATTTGGTGAGAGTACACTTTAAAACGATGCAACTATAATCTACAACGAAGGGGGATAAAGTACCCGAGTGTGTGTGGGGGGGGGGGGATATTAAACAGTATACAGTGGTTTTAATGATTTTGTAATGTATCATACTAATACACATTAAATGAAAAAAGTTACACATTGTTGTTATTATGGTACGAATTTAAGAGCGTATATCCCGTGAAACTTAAGTTCAGAATTTTATTCCTCATAAAAATGACGAAGTACACAAAGCAACAGTATTTTTAGCAATGTGTTAAAACTGTTTTAATTTTAAAAAAGATCACAGAAGTGTTTACATAAAACCAATATAATCTGTGTGATACACCGTCAAAACGGGATGATTAAAGGTAACATATAGGAGTGTGGAAAACAGTTTTAATTATACCTACTATACCAAAAGCTATAAAATGCCATTTGAACACGGAAGTTATATAGTACATTACCTGTCGTTTGTAAATGTTAGTTTTTATTATTCGTGCTTGAAAGTGTAACAATTACGTAACAGCGTGCAGAAAATGGATTTGTTTAAAGCTTTAAAATCGGAGATACTTCGCAGAGTATAAAGCTGTAGCTATAGGTGGTTGAAAGTTCTAAACTTATATACGAGAAATATGCAAAAGTAAAATAACAGTAGAATAATGTCCGCATAGGACATAATATCATACAAGAAATAAAAAAAAACTTGAAAAAAATAAGGATGATGTAGGGATGACAATACCAAAAAGTACAGAAACAAGGTAAGGATGAATACATAAAACTATACAAAAATCCCTAAATATGTAGCCAAATCTTTCCAAGAATAACTTTTATCTACAACTAAGTGTTGAATTCTATTCATTTGCATGAATTCGGGTTTGAATAAAAGTATTTAAAATGATGAATACTGCTATAGTCTTACAATGGCTAATTCACATAAGTTTGTAACACTAACTCAGTAGCTATCTATGTAGGGATTTTTATATGGTTTTGTGTATTCATCCCTACCTTGTTTCAGTACTTTTTGGCATTGTTATATCTACATCATACTTAATTTGTTAAATTTTTTTATTACTTGTTTCCCCTATTTTTTTAAAAAACAATACCACTGAATGACAGTCGCTATGAAGGCAACAGTTTCAGCCTGGCATGATGAGTTGTCTTGATGGACATCATGTGTTGTAGTTAGAGAAACACTATACTGCTTCTGTACTCCCCAAGTTAAAATGCAACATTTTTGTGTCAATTATCTCACCAACTTCAAGTATTGGTGAGCTAGCCCTTCTGACGTCAGAATCAGAATTATCAGCAGAACATTTGGATGTTACGCCACTCGCCGGTTTTCTACGTTAGCGATGCTTTTTTGGCTAAACTGGAGGCCTTAATAACTTTCATAAAACTCGAAAACTTAAGTTATTTGTTTATAAAAGTATTTTACATTGTTATAAGAGAGATTTGTTGGGGCTATAATGAGCAATACATAATAACATGCGTCGGCCATTTTTTTTCTCGGTCCATCCCTACATACTAAGTACTAACGTGCTTAATAATAATTACAATTCCTTCTATTTCATCTTTAATTGTGTTAGTCTTATTTTGAAATTCCCTAATTTAAACTTTTTTAACTGTACGATTTGATGTACGTTTTGCCACTAGTTACACTGGGTACAAAAGAGTTTAAGTTAAACTCCAAGTGTTTAGTCGTACATTTCAAAAATAGATAATCCAAGTTCAATATACCATTTATTTTACAAAGTAAAGTAAACCAAACAGTCGAACTTTTTTTTGCAGAGAGCTATCTGAGAAAACTTGTTCTTCGTCAATTATTCTCTCACTAATAAACTAAAACTTGAAGAGAATGACTCGAAAACTTTAAAAATTTAATACAATTTATTTTTAGATATATTATGCTAGGTTATGTGGAAAAATAGAATAAACGATCATGTTATCACAGTGGTTTAATGGTTATGTAGATAAGTAGAAGAAACGATTTTTTTAGGTATACTTAAAAATGTTTATATATATTTTCGCTAACAGTTACCATCATCAGCCCTAGTCGGTTCAAGTCATTAATAACCTAAAAAATATATTTTTATTGTGCAAAAAAAAAATCGTTTTTTCTACTTATCTACATAACCATGAAACCACTGTGATAACATGAGACGATTGCGATGTTTTTACACAAAACACATGCCTAATATACACTGTATAGGCCTAATTTTGATTACTTGGCTGTTACTAGGGGGTTTGCTGATAACACTTTTATGGGAGCAATTTCCTCAATATAGAAGTATACTGGTTATTACTATCCTACGTTTTTAAAAGCGGTCTTTACTTCTTAGAATGAACGAACGCTTTGAGAATCTGGCAATAAAACTAAAGCCAAAGGCCTTTATCTAGAGGTGGGGTTGTTTGAAGCAGCCGTTCCCAACTTAAGTACAGTTAACACGTACACTAGCTTGCTTACCAGATGGCTTCAACATTACACAAAGGTACCGATTCTGTTAAGGGGTTGTTGCTTAATCTATTTTAAGTAGAAATAACTATATTTGATTCTTCGAACAGTGCACAAATTTCGTGAGTATCAAATGTTTAACAAATAACGTCAGTTATTTTCGAACAAAGGAAGAAATATTATTAAAACAATTAAACACGACCACCATTAGTTAGGTGGACAACAGTTTTTAGCTGTTCATATTTTACAGTCTAAAACTAACTTCATCTAGCTTAGCTGCCAGATCTCATCAACAACGAATGAAACCAGTTTGAATTTAAGGACTATTTCTTGAACTCTATTCTAAAAAACAAAACACGTGGATATTTCACCCTAGATTACACATACGATCTATATCAACTTTACAAACATTTTTCTACACTACCAAAGCATCAAATTGTCTGTGGGTCTGTGACTTTCTTGGTTACAATGTTTCTAATAACGGATGAACCAATGATACCCCCCCCCCCCGTTTTTGGTCAGTTCTTCACACTAATGTTGTAATAGGGAAACAACAACGATTTTCTGCAATATATGGTCCCCCTGATAGTAAACAATATCAAAACAAGTAGATATTTTGAGAGTCAAATAATGTTACTTACATAGTTCTTGAACATAAAAAAAAAAAATAGAACATACAAAAATCATTATCTTACTATTTATTCAGTCACTTCACGATCACTATGCCTTTTTTTTATACTGAGCATGACTGAAATATTAACTGTCACATTATGAATACTGTTAGGTCTTTTCAAATTCCCTATAATTAATAAGAATGAAGAAATCTGCTGTTAATTACATACTTGCAGTACAGGTTATTAATTCATAATTTTAAACTAATTAAACACACAGAACAGAACAAAATGAAAACAGTGTAAGTTATTAAATTAACTATATAAATGTGCATGTCTAAAAAAATAATCAATATATAAATTAATTTTAACATGCTTAAGCAAACAAAATTCCAACAAATTAATTTATTAAATTCGAAATTTTTTGGTTTAAAAGATTTGTAATATCACTAGTTACTCTTCAGTTGAAAAAATTCCAATTAACCAAGGGTTAAGTGCATATCTAATACAGTTTAGCACACTTATGTTGCTTAATAATTCATTTTACAAATAGATACAATATCCTGTTAGGAATAAGCTTCAAAAATATGGTGCTTTAACTCCTTAAAAACAGCATGATTAACAATTACTGAAATAATTAAATATCAAAGTGTATATATATACACATGTATACTAAATATTACTAAAGTGTACTTACCTGGTTAACATTCTTGGTAAGATTGGTTTCTGTATCCATAAAAGGAAGAGAGTCAAAAACAGCCTTAAAAAAGAACAATTTGAAATTACTCAGAGTAATTACTTGAAACAACTATAATAAACCCAATATTTCATAGCAATGTAATTTAAATAATTCATGGGAACTGTACAATTAACATAAAACTACCTACGAATCTGTAGCTTAGTTCATATTGTCAGTAGAAAGTTTCCTTAGTTCAAAACTTTAACTTATTAAATAAAGAAACATATTTCTGCAAGTTATATAATTTTCTTTAATTTCAATGTTGATAGACTTACCTACCCCCTACCTTATTCACTACTACAAGTAACCAGAAATTAATGAAAAACTTTTCAAAAAAGGAAGTAAATGTACGGATGGAATCTGCATCATCCCTACATAATAGCACAGGCACACATAATAGTAAAATGTTAACAAAAATAGGATAAATTAAACTCAATTGTGATAGAATAGTTATATTTATTGCTATATTTTAATTATTGCCTGTGGTATTATGTAGAGATGATGCAAATGCCATCCCTACTGTATTGTTTGCATTGTTTTTATAGGATTGCTATCAGCCATCTCTACATCTACTTCCTTTTTTAAAAAGTTTTTCTTTACTTATTTGCTTGTTTTTTTTAATACAGTTTTTTAATACACATAGGAAAGTTTTATTTATAACCAAGTTCTGAATACAATAAGGTTCCAACTGTAATATTTATTGATAATCTACTACTGGCTGGTAATTCCTGTTTCATCCTGTATTTAAGCTTCTTAAAGAACACCAAATTTCTATAAGAAAGCTAAGGGGTAAAGATAACAACGTTTACACTAGAATTATGATTTTATTAATATCAATAAAAGCGAATTCCCCGTTTGAAATTCGTTGACACCATTATTGTTTTTTGAGTTATCATGTAATAAAAAAGATGCAGAAGAACAAAAAATTCAAACTTTTTTGTTATGATATTTACAGACATTCCCAAAACTTGTGACTCAGTCATTACATAGATATTGTTATAATAGGAAACACTGTATAGTATTGTAAGTTCTGATGACCTATTGAGGAAATATTTAAAATACCATTTTGATGAACAATCCGAGCCATCCCTACAAAGGCAGTGCTACTGCCTGCCTGATATTTGCTTATGCTGCAAAATAATTACCATGCTTGTACTTTTTGCACTTCAAAGAGCATGATTATCACATGTTGACTAGCTAACAAAAAATAAATACAGGTGTACTGATAGATAACTCTGTTATGTAAGATAGGAATCCATATAGTTTTTTTTAATTTGTGTGTGTCCATGTTTAATACTAAATAGGCACCATCAGACTCCTGTCAAAACCTTGTTTTGTCTTGTGTTGTAAACTAGACTCCCACAACACTTACTTGTTACATGAACATTGTTCCTGTTAGGAGCAAATATTAAACAGACTTGAAAAGCATGGAACATGTTTCATTGTGATTCCACTGTAAAAGTGCTAGTTATTTTAGTGATTATTAGTTTAATTTGATGTTCTGTAAACATTTTTTGGCTGCTTTCTTTGGTTGGTATGTAAGACTTGTGAATTTGAAGAAAGAAACTCAAAGTACAAACATTTCTTGTAAACTTAATGAAATCAGAAAATATAAAAATTGGTATAATTTTCTACATAGGCAGTTAGTGCTTACAAATTGAATCAGTTTTCTAACATCTACTATTTTATGATGTTGTATATGCAATACTACAAATATATAAACACTTATAACCATATCCATGTTTTGTATAGCAGATATAAAAAGAAACAATTACACATTTCATAACAACTAGCCATTTTTTTCAAAATAACCTTATTTTTTTACCAAATATTTTAAGTATTGTATCACAAGTTTCTTCACATTACCTTTCAGTTTTCTATACCAATATACTTTTAAAATGCACTACCAAAAATTTCAGAACCAAATGAATGTGTGATATCTATGTTATCTAACCTTAAAATCAGTACAAGTTTCAAGACTTCTATAACACAAGCTAATACACAACTTTAGAAACAGTGTCTCCTATAAAACAATGGCCATTAATTCAGTGACTTTTTAAAGTTCGAAAAAATAGTTAATATTCACAACTGGACACACACTTATTCAACAAACTATATGTAACAATCATGCTCATACAGCCTTTCCCTTTCCAAATTTACATGTATGAGGAAAACTGGCAGTAAGCCAGCCATTTAATTCATAAAAGTATAATAAACAATGTGACCTTCACATGAGTGTATAAACGTTTCCTTTAACACGTAATTAACATAGTAAAAAATATATAAATTTAAGAAGCAAATAAATGGCAAAAAAGTTAATTTTCCCATTGAAATTACCTTCCCACCCCAACTATATTTCTGGTACTTAAAAGTTTTCTGTTATAAACTTATCTCATTATTTCTTTTGTTAAACTATAACAAAAAGTAATCCCAGAAATGAACAGGTACTTCAGTTTTAAAAATAAACCTGTATCTAGACTTTTGAATAGTCTTAGTTGTCACCTTTAAGAAGTATATATTACTATTTCCAATATTAATTCTCCAATAAATAAGTCCATTAACTAAGTAATTTATTCTAGTTTTTTCAACCCCTTAACCAATTGGAACACCTGAATCTAATTACCACCAAATCCTTCATTCTAAAGAGAATGAATTCTTACACCTAGCTTTGTAATTCATGTGTATTAAAATCAAGAATATTTTTTGATGTCTTTTTGAAAACCTTCTCCAGTCAGTTCAAATTACTTGCATAGTAAGAAGGCCAGAATTAAACACAGTACTTTACAAAGTATTATGAAGCATGAACAAATCATTTCTTTCACAAGGAAATCATTTCTTTCACAAGAAATGGCCTATATTACAGCACTCAATACATTTTTTTTTTATCAACTATGTACTTTATTTACAATGATCATTATTAAAAATAGTGGTTCTTTATTATTTAATACTATTAAGACATTTCAATTACAAATATATTTGGCTTAGTTTCTGATTGCGATATGTCAAAACTGTATTTTTTAATAATCTGATCAGCTGTGAATGATAACACAAAACATTTATTGTACTCTCTACGTAGTAGGTCAGAAATAAAATCAATTCAATTATTTATGAGGAACATTATATTTCTAACAAAAATCATTCCTGTAACATTTACTTGTTTAAGTGGAATCACAGGACATGCGGACATGAAGATAAAGATTTATCTAGAAAATAAGAAATGTATGTTGAGAACTGCGTTGATAACAAATAATGGTCACTTGTACAAGTTGAGACAAGTGTTAAGTACATGTGCTCTTAACTACTTATCTTTTCAGTGAAAACAACAACCACGTATGATAAAAATCAGGCACTTTAAACTGTAAATTCTGTATGTAAATGGCTGACACTGAATAATCATATTAAATGGGTAAATGGACTAATATTTAGATAATTGATAGCCTACTTTAAAGATTATTTTTAAATTACTTGTTTCATTCAAGGGCTTACATACTTCTAGAAAAGGAATGCCAAACACATTTGAAATAAACACTGAAAAATATTTAAAGTTTAATTGTTCCCTTCTCAATTTTTTATTTTCAAAGCATATCTCCAATTCTTCTAAAATAATAAAAACAAACAAAAAAATTGCAGAAATATTGTTTCATAACCAAATTTTTTTTAACCAGAACTTATTCTGGTATAATTTGAGTCTTTTATAAACTGTTATCAACAAATCAATATCTTTTTCTTAACCCTTTCTATAAAAAAAGTCTTCAATTTAGCATCCTTGTACAGGTAAATCAAATGGTTTTCTGCTATATTTCTTGACTTTACTTTTCACAAATGGCTTTAAGCCATTAAACTTTCCATTTAAAGTAGAACTGTACTGAACATCTCATTGAGAATTTACATTGTATGAAAGGTAAAAAAAATTGTTATTTGGTAAATTTGTATAAACTCAGTAAAGACATTATAGTGCTATAAGAAAATTGTAATTGAGAAGCATGCAAATAAATAAATCGACAATATTTAAAAACTGCTATAGCCTACATTGTATATGATGTAACATAATATACATAACAAAAAATTAAGTTATAGATTAAGTTTGGGTTTTATTTATATTGTGAAATAAATTTTTGCCTCATTATCTAATTGTGTAATGTGCTAGTACAGTTTAAGATTTTACAGTTGTCAAGATTAAAAAAAAAAGATCTGTATGCACTACAACTACAAGAGCAGAAAATATGGGCTCCTATAATATTTCATCTAGTTTTGTTATGAAAGTTTAATACAGTAATAATTCTATTTTTATTTTCATACACCCAAAAATATATTAGAGATATGGAATCATCAAATTTGTAAGACTTAAAATCAATAATTACCTGCATTGTTGTAACTCCTAGTTCTTCATTGCTTACTTTCCGCAAATGTGACCCTATTACTTTTGCTTCACTCTTTAAGTAAATGCCTCCAAATGCACCAACTTCTGATTGTTTTAAAGGTTCATTATTGACATCTAATGTATCTTGTTTGTCTAAAGGACTAGGTCTGTCTCTTCCTACAATATATGGGCTTCCATGTAATCGAGTTCTATATTTGCCAAATATTTTCAAAGGCTGTGTTAAGTTTTCTCCTCCATTTAAGTTCAAGTCACTTATGCTTAAACAAGTTAAAGGAAGATCACTTGCTAAAATCCACACTACGACTAAGCTCAAAAATGGCTTAATAAACAAACCCTCTTTGTTAGAAATCATACTGTTTAAATTATTTTGCTGCATAAACTCAATGTGTAGTCTTAACTAGAAAAATAGAAGTGATAAATCTTCATCTTGACTTAAGATAATTTGGTCAACTACTTAATCAGATTAAAATAACGATGTAGCGGGTTCAGTGATACATTGAAACTTTGAAAAACTTTCTGAAGAATAAGCAATCAAAATTAACTTGTCAATATCATGCACATCTTCACATTCAAACGTTCACAATGAATAACACTGTTGTGTTGACAGTCGTACGAACAACTCAAGCCTACGCTGGCTTCAACCTGCAGGACCTTGGCGACTCCGTTCAGAATGCGTTCTAATCTAAAAGTAAAACTGCCTATCGAATTGAACATCAGAATAAGCCCCCTAATCACTATAACATTAAAAGTACAGTACATGCTAATAATAGTACTTCGCTACGGCAATCACGTCAACACATATTAGCAAAACATTTTCTTAGACGTTGCCTTATACTATTATCAGCTAACAGCTTATCAAACAATGACTCCTACTAACACTACTGCACGTTACACACAACATTTTCCTTCGCTATTCATTTTTAGTGGAGGACGCTGTGTATACTCTAGATGACGAGAAATCTCGAAACGCTGTTCGAGACTTTGCGATGTTTCCCATGGTGGCTCGTATGAGAGCTTCAAAGTTATGAAACATAAAACGAACGTGTAGAAATATTTGTGAATATAATCATTGTTAATAATTGATTTGATACAGAAAGTATAGATTCTCGAATATTTTTATGTAAACAACTCATTTTAAGATCTTACGGTATTCCAATTATTGGTGTTTTTTAAACTAGCAAAAAATTAATGGAAGTTTTCAGTTATTGAGCGATATCGGAATAGTGAAAATCTGTTGAAAGTGAACTGAAACACATATTCACACTGTTAGTGTTAGTGTATAAAAATAATCAGGTATAGTTTATTACAAATATTATTCAAAAAGTGATTTTAGTTTACTACTACATATGTATAAATCTGGCTAAGCTGTAAATTTATAATAAGTAACTAAGATAAATACTGCATTGTAGTTCTTAAGACTTAATTAATCATTTTAAATGTTAACTTGCGATCAGAGCAAGCTACCAACGTAGACTAGTCACTAGGTAAGCTAAAAGATCCATCTCGTAATGAGCATAGTTAATTAAATATGTTTTTCTTAAGGATGTATACTATACTATGTATACTTAAGGATGTATATATCCTCTACTCTTTGTGATTTGTATTAATGATACTGACTCGGGAATGACTAACAAAATTTTGAAGTTTGCAGATGACATTAATGATCGACAGAGTAAGATTTTTGGGGTGGCTAACTCTAACTGTATAAAAGATGCTGCAGACTTAGAAGTTAGAGGGAGATTTAAATCATTTGATGCATTGGGCCAGTACGTGGCAGATGATGTTTAACTATCCAGAATTTAAGGCGATGCATGTAAATTTCACAATTCAAATAATTGTTACATTAAATGGAAATACATTAAATACTGTGGATGAAGAAAAAATCTTGTTGTTGTGATTGAAAAATCACTTAAGTCATCTAAACAGTGTATTGTAGCTAGCTAACAATAGGGCTAATAGGATTTTGGGTAGCATCTATAGAAATATTGAATAAAAGACAAGGGATATTCACTTTATACATCACTTGTAAGGCCACAGTTAGAGTACTGTGTACAGTTTTGGACTCTCTTCTTCAGAAGGACATTGACTTGTTGGAGAAGGTTTAGAGAAGAGCTACTAGGATAATACCTGGGATATGGTGGGCTTGTCCTATGAGGAGAGACTAAAATCACTAAACTTGTTTTCTCCGGAGAGAAAAAGGGTCAAAGGGAATTTGATTGAGGTGTTTAAGATTATTAAGGGTATTGATAATATAGATCCATCAAATCATTTTGTGTGACTAAAAATGAAATAGTTTTGCTGAAGAAAACTTGTGTGAATCTGAGTTTCCAATAAAAAGTAATTAGCACTTAGTATTTGCAATAAAAGTTGAAATAGCTGTAGTCTGAGCTAAGTTAGTAAGTAACATCTTTTAGGTTGAAGCATCAATTATGGGATGGAAGAAAAGGATCTTGACATTGTGGGTAAGTCACCCAATCCATTGACTGAGGCAGTGCTTTGTTGCTAGTAGTTGTAAAGGTATTAGAATTGTAGGGTGTATTTACAGATATATTGATTACATTGTCAAACAGGCTATTATTCCTCTATGCAAATCACTAACTAGTACTCATTTGGAGCAGTGTGTACAAATTTAGCCATCTTAGCTAAGAAAGGATGTTGATGATTTTGAGAGAGGAGGGCTACTGGGAGAATTATGGAGATGGAATGGATATTTTTATAGAAATAGGTGACTATCTCTTAACTTATTTTCTCTTAAGAAGACAAGGGTAAGCAGTGATCTTTTTATTAAAGTTTGCAAGATTATCTATGGGACTGATTTGGTAGAGGCCTCTGATTTTTTTGTGCTATATTTCAAAGAAAAAGTTGAGTGAACAAATGTATAAGACTTGGAAAGGACAGACTAGGTTTCATTTAAGATTATTTTATTATTCTAACAAGGTGATTAACTTATGGCAGTGTTTTACAACTGTGGGGGGCATTGCCTATTGGCAGGAGAGCCCAGAAATAACGACAGAAGAATTGGAGATGACAATAACTTAACAAACACTATTATTTTGATCTCTAAGTTTTTTTTTGCTCTCTTTTTTTGCATTTACTCACCCCTTACAAATATTTTTTTCATTTAGAAAAAAATTATGAAAAATAGGTAAAGAAAATGTTGCTTTTGCTGTTATCACTTGCAAAAATTATTTTAATGTCGGGGGGGGGGGTACAATGGAAACTTTACTGAGTAAGGGGGTCCCACTCTTTAAACTTTGGAAAACACTGACTCATGAGTTACTATCTGTGGCAGTGGAGACCAGCACTTTTGCTTTAAGAGTAACAGTAAATAACTTATCTTCATTGATGTAATAATAACACGCCTACATAAAATTAAGATATGCAAGATATGATACATAGAATTCATAGTATACACAATATCAACAAAAAGATTTTGCCAAAAAGTTCATTTGTACGTGTCACAGTATGTAGTGGCTAAATGTAGACCTATAACAGACTTTTACAAATAATATTATAATATTAGCCATATCAGTTTAGTATGTCTTACTGCCCTGATGATAATTGTATACATATTAGCAGAGCATACACATTTTTTAATTATGTGCAGGTACGGTTAAAAAAAAATTAGCAAATTAATATTACATTCTTAATGTTTATAATAAAACTTCAAGCATTTTATCATCAACTTTCTAGTTTTTACAGTATGTTTTATTTTGGTTGAATACAGATCAGGGGAAAAGCCTTTGAAGCTTTTTTAATTAAATATGTCGGTTGTAGTTATATTTTAATTTAATTTTCATTTTTAAGTAAGAATAATGTTTTTTTTTATTGCAGGTGTTGAGCAGTTACAAGTGATTACCTTATCAAGATCTTTACTGCGAGCACTCCACTGAAAAAAAAAGAGACTGATTACAGTGTTATAATTGTGTGAGTTTTTTGAAACCTGGCTAATAAGTACATTTCTCATAAAACAAGTGAAAAGCTCTTGAATATGAATAAATTTGTACCATTAATGAGGTCAGTATGTCAAAAATCACTGTGCCAACATAGAACTGATGTCATGAAGATTCATATAAACCTACAAGGACTTTCAAAGCACTGTAATTATTTTTCAGTCCATTTCTTTTCAGTGTCAACATCAAAAAGCGAGTTCTTTGAAGTTCGTAAAAATCAAAACCTAATGAACTTTATTTCTCATCTGCAAAAAAGAAATATTGTGGCATCGAACTTAAACGGTTCGTTTTTTTTTCATCTATTTCTACTTAGTATATTTGTTGTGTAAAATATTTTTATTTTATGATCAGTTTTATGTGCATGAATTGAATATAGATGGCCAAAAGCTGTTAAAATTAAAACTAAAACTTTGGTATTCTCATTAAAATAAATTGAAATTAATCAGAAATGTAAAAAGAAAAATTAAAAATTCACCATAAAGAAAATGTAAAGTTATCAACAGTGGTATAGAAAAAAGAAAATTAAATGTAATTTCCAGCTATATATAAAATATGCTAATAATGGACACTTGATCCTTTATTAGGCAAGAATTAATAGAGAGGAATTTCCAAAAATTGCAACAAACTTTCAGGGGTATAAATTTCAAGAGTAATCATTTTCAAATGTGTAATAAATAACGTAAATACTTTGCTTTTGGTCTTTCCCTCTTGTTTATGGAGTTAACCCTGAATAAACAGTTTAACATATGTAGTATACAAATGCTTTTGTATTAACTTGTGTATTGATTAAAATCACTAACCTGGATTGTAAAGTTTTAAGTACAGTTTTAGTATACAGTTTGACTTACAGAAGTTAGATCTGTTAATATGTTTCTAAAATACAAATAACATTTAAGGGACAACAGGGGGCTTCTTGGTTCGTCATGATTCTCCCATTCATTTCATCAAACACTATTTCGGCAATATCCAGCCCTGAACCTCCAAGTACTTGTCTTGAACTCTCCCAATCCTGTTGCACCAACCCCACCTGAAGGCAATTTATTCCAAAGAATGACCACTGTTCAAAAAATCACATTGCCTAATTTGCAGACTACCTTTACCCTTGCAAAGTTTGAATCTACGTCCTCGATTCCTACTACTTACCATTATGCACCAATCCTATTGTTTCTTTTTATAATTTTGAGCACTTTAATCAGATCCACTTTTACCCTTCTGTTCACAAAAGAAAATAATTTTAAAGATCTTAACCTGACCTCATATGACAATCTCTCCATCCCAGAAATTTTTAGTAGCCCTCCTTTGAACCAACAACTCAATTTTTTTCTTAAAGTAAGGAATCCAAGATTGAACATAATACTTTAAATATTTAGTCTTGGTTAAGGTAAAATTATTTGGCAATTACCAATTAAAACACTTAAAGTTTCAAACAATAGTAAAAGGTTTAATGTATTATAAATCAGGATCAAAAGTACTCGTATATCAAGATCGGTTGTCCAGTAGCCAAGTTTTCTAGAAAGAATGTAATTACATTAAGCAAAAATGTTACTTGAACCATTTAGGCCATTCCTTCGTCCACAAAAACAGACAATTAGTACATCAAATCCACAGCTTTAATAAATAATTTCAAGTAACAGCTTGTGTCACATTATCGAGTAAACCATTCCACAGGTTTATAACTCAAACCGAAAAAATTTAAGTTAAGATAGTTTATTTTTCTATCAGGATGATAAGCTTGTGGAAAGAGTTCCAATCAGCAGTAGTTAGGTCAATGTTTTTTAAGACTTTAAGAAGGAAGTAGATTATTTCCTGAAAAATAATGGATGGATTTCAGTTTTTACTTCTTCCCAGAGGTGGGTGCTTGTACTGGGACAATCTTGAAAAGTCAAATGTTCCTTTTTTGTTTGTGAAATTATGATATATTTTGTTCTTGATGAAAAAAAGTAACTGTTAAATTGAGTTTTATTCCACTTCTTTTTCTTTTTTTTAGTTTCATCTTTTACAGATTTAAACTGAGACTAATTAGTTGGACCAGTTGTATTTGTTGATAAAAATCTATGTATATAAAGAAATCTCTTTTGTACCATGATACACATTTTGTGATACTGTAGGGCCATTGCAGCATGGGGAATATGAATGGCAAGATCCAAAGTCTGAAGAGGAAGTGTGAGTATATAGAGCAAACTAAAGAATCCAGAAATAAAATTCCACTAGTGTAAATTCAATGAAATTTCTCTACTCCAGAAATTCCAGCTATTTGTATTTTGGCAGAATTGGTCCAGTTTCTAACCCTAAATTACACCATTATGATTGTATCCTTTTAATTTTAAATTTTTTAAATTATGTTTTTTGACAACTTGTGGGTGTGGTTTAACACAATCTTGTAAATTTGTTATTGGAGCATGAAATGAAATAAAAGCAGCATCATAGTCATTAAGCATTTGTACTTATGAAGCTGTACTCAGATTGGACTCAGATGTTTTCATAACTGAATAAAGTATCAGCCTATCAGAAACCACATTGATAGTTAACCTATTCAGAAGTCAGGACAGCTATTAAAGATGTCAGAATTAAGCCATTCAAAATTTTGTATTCTGAAAATCACTGAGGAAAACATTCTATATTTGGACACCATCCATACAACAAAGAAATAGACAAAAAAAATCATGGATATATTTACAGTTTAAATTATACTCATAAAGTAAAAATGAAAATAACAAAAAATTAACCAGAGCAATTACAATATAAGAAGTTGTGTCCTGACATAGGGCTCAACCCAAATACCACAACACCACAAAAAACAGGAACACACGAACAAAACTACAAAAGATGTTTTTTTAGACTCCCATTCGCATTTTATGTCAGTTAACATTGGAATCTCTGTTACCTCATGAAGAATTTCTTAATATATTTTTATACCTCTTAATGAATTAAGTAAGAATAAAATTGCAGTTTATAAATATATAAAAGTATATACATTTTTAAATGTTTCTTTATTGGGTGTGTAATTATGTATCCTTAATACAGTTAAAATCAGAAGATCATTATAACCTAACATAATGTTTAGGGACAACAAAGGACACGTTGGTCCATCCATAGGCAACCCATTCCAATGGCCAACCACCCTGTTAGAAAAATGAAACTGTCTTAGCAGATGATGACTCCTGCCCTGTCAAAATTTATATTTGTGTCCCCTAGTCCTATTATTCTCACTGTTAAATATGAAAAAAGATGATGCATTAACACTATCAATTCCCATTACAATCTTAAACTCCTCAGTCGAATCCCCCCTAACTCTTCTTTTTTCAAAGAAAAAATTTCAGAGATCTTAACCTCTCCTTACATGACAACCCCTCCATACCAGGCACCATTCTAGTCACCCTTCTCTTTCCTAAGGTATGGAGTACAAGACTGAACACAGTACTCCAAATGTGTCATAACCAGTGACTTATTAACATTTTGCTGAGAGAATTGATTGACCACCAGCTATACTCTTAGTATCAAGTGTGATGCTGCCAGTTGATCTTTCATCTGTATAGATAAACTTTACAGTAGAAGAGATGACCCACTAAAAATATGTTATGAAAGCTAAGTAACGAATTGTAAGTACTTTGGCTGTAAAATTGTTACCATTTATTTATGAAAAATCACAAAGAAATCTGAAGACAAATTTTATTTTAAAGATACTTTTTCACATATTTTGGTTATTTTTTCAGAGTCAATGTTGTATTCGTTACGAAAGATGGAAAAAGAATTCCAGTTCGAGGGAAAATAGGTGATAATGTGCTTTACTTAGCCCATCGTTATGGAATTGAAATGGAAGGTGTGTACGTAAGAGAGATGTATATTTTTGCTTTGTGTACATGAACAGAACAAAATAATGTCATAGGTCTAATAACAAGAAGTAGATTAGTTATTTGTAAAATCTTTGTCATAGTTCTTTATTACTTTCCAAAAATAGCTTATAGAATATTCTTTCATATAGGAACAGAATTAGAACTTTATCTCTGGCTGTTTTTAGTTCCACTTGGATATTGTCTTTCCTAAAGTTTCTTAACTTTACTGAAGTATATTTACGAACAAGTTAAGAATGCTTAAAAGTACATTTTAAGTTTTGGATAGTACTATTGTCAATTAAGAGCTTGTGATAAAGTTTGAAATATGCCTTATTGTTGCAATCTAAAAATTTTAATTTAGCTTAAAACTTTTGAAAAAGTATAAAATACCTATAATATTTATTGTTAGTGCTAAGTAGTACTTGTAAAAGTCTTAGTATAATATGTACAACATGATTCATGAAGGAGAGAGATAATGATAATTTTATGTAATATTAATATTTTCTTGTCAAAATGTGTAAAGTCTGTTTTCTCTAAAAAAACATTTGATAAATAGCTTATAATACTTTTATCTTATATATCACAAGAATTTAAAAGCTTGTTTGTAGGAAATTGATGACGTTGTTTATTTTTTACATTACTAGGGGCATGTGAGGCTTCTCTAGCTTGCACAACCTGCCATGTATATGTTCAGAATGAATATTTTGACAAACTACCAGCAGCTGAAGAAAGGTAGACATGATTGATTTACAGAAAGAAAACAATCAAATGTATACAGTTTTAATATTTGTAATACATTTTAAAACTAGCATAAATGGTAAATTTCTAGTGGTAAGTTGGTAAATACAGAAATTACAATGTCTTAGCTTTGTTTAAGTAGACTTGTATTTTGTAAAATACAGTCACATTTCAATTATTATACATTATACATCTATATAGATTATTGTTGTTTTGAAATAAGTTCTTAAACTTATTTTTTTTAGAACATAGAACAGTAAATAAAGAAGTAAAGCAAACAATTATCTCTTCTAGTTACGACCTTTGTACTTGGTTACTGCTTGACTTTGGTTGCTAAGCCTTTTAAAATTTCGCACATGGAGGATATAAAATGAAATAATTATTTTTAGGTTTTATATATATACAGTTGGATAACCAAAAAATCATAAATTACTATATCAATACCATGGAATTCCACTATAATTTATCACGCTTAGTAACTAAGCTGTGTTTTGGTTTAAACAAATATGAAATTTTGAGCCGACTAGATGCAACCTACCTCCTTGAAGTCTTGGTTAGAAAGAGCGAGATAGCATCCTAAGAATTTAAAATGGCTATGAAAGCCACTAGGGGGACATTCTGAGCTTTTGATTGGTTATTCATGTCATATATTGAAGTAAGTATAATAAGGGACTGTTTCCAAAATTGGAAAGAAGTG